GATGGTGACGTCAGCTTGTGTCAGTGGAAGGAAACTTTCGTGGTTGTGAGCTGCGGACATCGTGGACTCAAGATCGCGCGCATGTCGACTCGTGAGTGATTGACGGAGCAGGCGGTGATGTAGAAGAAGACTCGCACGACCGACTGCATTGCGATATCCTGAGTAGACTAGGCGGAAGATGACCCGCAAGCCAGGGTCCAAGAAAGTGTACCAACAAGCAATGTTGAGGACGCCAAGACTCGAGGGCGATGCGACTTTCTCCACGCGTCAGATGCGGTCGTCGGAGGGCGCCAAGACTCGAGGGCGATGTTGAGGACGCCAGCAAGCGATGTTGAGGACGCCAAGACTCGAGGGCGATGACTGTGAAAGCCGCAATCCATTGCCCGTCGCTGACGTCATGTGCAAGATAATGACGTCAGCGTGTGTCACTGCATGGGGTCTTCCGTGGTTGTGATCGGTGGGCGTCGTGCGCTCAAGATCGTGCACGCGTGATTGGCGGAGCATGTGGTGGCAGAGAACAAGACTTGCACGGTCCAAGGAGCGGAAGGGCAATGGGAAGAGGTGGGGGCTTGAAATGGTGAAGGGGCCGTGCAGGGGGCGTGGGCTTCTTACTGACCTGCGAGTCGACAAACTCCTCCTGCCGACACAAGAAGAGCACAGCGCGAACGGGACGACGCGCAAGGTCTACAGTCGCGTGACGTTTTCGTTAGCGCCCCCCGCTGTCGACGATTGCTGGAAGAACGAGGGCCTGGATGTGCAAGGGGCCTGCGATATGATGGCGGACGCGTCGCAAAGGCAGCACACAGAAGAAATGACACCAGCGAATGGGTGTGACAGCCACCCCCATTCGTTTGGTGCCCGACAGGAGAACGGTGAGTGGAGTGAGTGGGGCTTGAGGGGCCCTTCAGCTGCCCGCCGCAGGGTCAATAACGGCGGACTGCCGCGTCGGGGGATGTGACATCAGGCGGTCCCTTTTTTGACGGACTGTCCTCACGAAATCGCCCGATCCGAAACCGTCGCGGGAGGGCGGGCCGTGATGTCGAGAGGACTGGCCTTTTTTCACCGTGCTATCGACGGTTCCAAGGCATCATCTGGCGCAAACTTTCCCGCCCACTTTTAATTATCGGGGCCCGCGCAGATTTTACTGTGATATCGACGGTTCCAATGCGTCATCCGGCGTGACTTTTCCCGCCCACTTTCGTTTCTTTGGCCCCGCGCGGATGTATCCGCCATTCGAATGACGGTGGCGCCATTCCGCGAATTTGCAGGTGGGCATTGCAATCGTCCGAAGCAGCAGGCAATCGCAGGTGTTGCCAACCCTCACGGCCGAAAATGCCCGTCGCGAGCCCGGACCACCCGCCCTTGCCAGCGACACAGCCATCTCGTCGCCGTCTCCCCCGCCGTCTACCTTGCTTCTCTCTCTCTCCCTCCTCGCCATATCCCTCGCCTCGCCATCTCCTTCGCGTCGCAATCGCCCACGTCTCCATTCGCGGTTTTGCCCTCTCACGCGTCGGCACCTCCCTTTTCGCGCGTCGCGACACACGTCGTCGTATTGCGGTTTGAGATCATCAACCAAGTCGCCGGGGCCATTGTTTCTAACAACAGTTGTAAATCAAGGAAGGAAAAGGTACGTTCTCTCTCTCATTCTATCTCCCTTTCTCATCTCTCTCTGTCTCACTCCCCCCCTCTCTCTCTCTATTTGGCTCTGTCTCTCTCTTTCTCTCTCTCTCTCTCTCTCTTTCTCTCTCTCTCTCTCTCTCTCTCTCTCTCTCTC